GAGACACGACACAATGCCATGCATCTTTGGCCAAGGCGAAAGGACGAAGATGAGGTAGGTCTTCGGGTGGAATAGCATCTTGAATGATGAAGAGAGCATTCTCATTGAATTGATTGTCCGCGGCTTCTCGAGGAGTGAAGTTGCTTGGATCATGTGGATAGAAACCTTCTTCAATGATTCTCCAAAGATTAGTGTTCACATGATTTAAATGACGTTTAAAGCGGTAAACCCAAGAATCAAAATTCTCATTTTTCACAATCTTAGGGGGAGGACCGGCATGATTCAAATGAGTGGAAGGAACCGATCCACCATAAACAAGTGGTGGTTCCACATGGGCAAAGATGCCGGTGCCATTCTTGCCGCTAGAAGAAGGAGCCTTTTCACTACTAGCTTCCCCCTTGTCGGGGATAGCATCCGTCACCTTGTTGGCGGGATCACCCACTTTCAACGGTGCGGTGGATAGTTTAAGCCCCTCAAGAAATTTAGTAAACATGCTTTCGACTTCGGTCGTCATGGATGTTTTCAATGTCTCCAAGGCCACATTGAACTCCTCATGAGAGACCGAAGTTCCCCCATCTCCCGTAGACGAGATCGGATTCACACCGGAGTGTTCCTCCACACCGTCTACAGTATCAACCATACTCTTTGGACGGTAAAGTCCTTAATAAAAAAACGAGGCTCTGATACCAATTGAAAGGATCAATATGGTTGACTAGAGGGGGGGGTGAATAGGCAACTAACAATTTTTAGCTTTTCTTTAACAAATTAAACTTTGCATCAAAATAGGTTATCTAGAAATGCAACTAGGTGAGCAACCTATATGATGCAACGAGGATAGGTACACAAGCAAGCAAGAGATATGAAACAAGTAAGCTTGCTTAAATAAAGGCACGAGATAACCAAGAGTGGAGACGGTGGAGACGAGGATGTGTTGCCGAAGTTCCTTCCCTTTGAGAGGAAGTACGTCTCCGTTGGAGCGGTGTGGAGGCACAATGCTCCCCAAGAAGCCACTAGGGCCACCGTATTCTCCTCACGCCCTCACACAATGCGAGATGTCGTGAGTTCACTATTGATGCCCTTGAAGGCGGCTACCGAACCTTTACAAACAAGGTTGGGGCTCTCTCCACAACTTAATTGGAGGCTCCCAACAAAACCACGAAGCCTCACCACAATGGAATATGGCTCCGAGGTGACCTCAACCGTCTAGGGTGCTCAAACACCCAAGAGTAACAAAATCCACACAAGAAAGTATGGGGGAACCAAGTATCCTTTGGTGGAAGTGTAGATCTAGGTCTCCTCCTTCAATCCCTAGCAAATCAACAAGTTTGAGTGGCTAGAGAGAGAGATCGGGCAAGAGAGCTTGAAGGGCATCAATGGTGGAGTGAGAGAGGTCAAAGGTGGGAGTGGTAGGTGGGAGAAGCTCCCTTATATAGTCACCCTCAATTTCCAACCGTTACTGTGTTTTTGCACTGCAGCGGTACAACCGGTCCTCGTCCCGGTACAACCGGGACTCACGGTGTAACAGCAGAACCCTACCAAGCGGTACAACCGGACAAGCGGGCGGTAGTACTGGCTAAGAAAGATAACCGGACTAACCGCCTGGCTACCGCACAACTACCACATCAAAACAGGAGCTTGACCGGTACTTGGGCGGTGCCTGGCTGGAACAACCACATGGCCTTGAGCTCTTGGGCGGCTAAGTTCTGAGCGGAAGAACCGCTCGGACCACCGGTGGTACCGGTCGTCGTGGAACGACTGGACCAACCGGGCCACTACCGCCCAAGAACAGCATCAAACCAGAGGCGAGAGCGGTACTTGAGAGGTATATGGATGGAACCACCGCCCTAGCTGTTGCAGAGCATGGTGGCGGTACCACCGCCCGGAGGCAGCGGTACAACCGCTCGAGCAAAAGCTGGTGAGCGACAAGACCCAGCGGTACAACCGCTCCAGAGAGCGGTACAACCGCTGGGCAGAAACAGTGAGCAGGAAAGAGGGGAAGAGGCAAGGAAAACTCTCTCTCTCTCACACACACACCTGAGGAAGGCAAAGAGAGGGTGAAAAAAGTGTACGTGAACTGATTCCCCCAGAGCTTCCTAATGAGGATTCCCTCTTGATAGTACGGGTACTCTACGACCAAAGAAAATAAAAACGTAGAGCACACGTCTTCGATCTTTTCCTTCGAGAGGTAATAGCAATCCGATGTAAGCCTAAGCATCGAGAACCTGAAACATATAGCACACGTTTAGACCACAAAGGGTTGTCATCATCATCCAAAACATAAAGTAGGGAAATGCCCTTTCACCCTGCAAAAACAAGTTAGACGTCCTGTAATCGTTGTTTGCATGTTTTACGTGGCTGCTATGGGTTTCTAGCAAGAACGTTTCTTACCTACGCAAAAACCACAACGTGATATGCCAATTGCTATTTACCCTTCATAAGGACCCTTTTTATCGAATCCGATCCGACTAAAGTGGGAGAGACAGACACCCGCTAGCCACCTTATGCAACTAGTGCATGTTAGTCGGTGGAACCAGTCTCACGTAAGAGTACGTGTAAGGTCGGTCCGGGCCGCTTCATCCCACAATGCCGCCGAATCAAGATTCGACTAGTAACGGTAAGCATATTGAACAAAATCAATGCCCACAACTACTTTGTGTTCTACTCGTGCATAGAAACTACGCATAAACCTGGCTCATGATGCCACTGTTGGGGAACGTAGCAGAAATTCAAAATTTTCTACGCATCACCAAGATCAATCTATGGAGTAATCTAGCAACGAGGGGAAGGAGAGTGCATCTACATACCCTTGTAGATCGCTAAGCGGAAGCGTTCAAGTGAACGGGGTTGATGGAGTCGTACTCGTCGTGATCCAAATCACCGATGATCCTAGTGCCGAACGGACAGCACCTCCGTGTTCAACACACGTACAGCCCGGTGACGTCTCCTACGCCTTGATCCAGCAAGGGGAGAAGGAGAGGTTGGGGAAGACTCCATCCAGCAGCAGCACGATAGCGTGGTGGTGGTGGAGGAGCGTGGTACTCCTGCAGGGCTTCACCAAGCACCGCAAGAGACGAGGAGGGAGAGGGGTAGGGCTGCGCCAAGAAGGAGATTGAATCGTGTCTCTGGCAGCCCAAAACCTCAAGTATATATAGGGGGAGGGGAGGGGCTGCGCCCCCACCTAGGTTTCCACCCCTAGGGGTGGCGGCCAGCCCTAGATCCCATCTAGGGGGGGGCGGCCAAGGGAGGAGAGAGGGGGGCGCACCACTAGGTGGGCCTTAGGCCCATCTGAGCCTAGGGTTTGCCCCCTTCCACTCTCCCTTGCGCCTTGGGCCTTGGTGGGGGGCGCACCAGCCCACCTGGGGCTGGTCCCCTCCCACACTTGGCCCATGCAGCCCTCCGGGGCTGGTGGCCCCATTTGGTGGACCACCGGGACCCTCCCGGTGGTCCCGGTACATTACCGATAAAACCCGAAACTTTTCCGGCGACCAAAACAGGACTTCCCATATATAAATCTTTATCTCCGGACCATTCCGGAACTCCTCGTGACGTCCGGGATCTCATCCGGGACTCCGAACAACATTCAGTAACCACGTATATCTATTCCCTATAACCCTAGCGTCATCGAACCTTAAGTGTGTAGACCCTACGGGTTCGGGAACCATGCAGACATGACCGAGATAACTCTCCGGTCAATAACCAACAGCGGGGTCTGGATACCCATGTTGGCTCCCACATGTTCCACGATGATCTCATCGGATGAACCATGATGTCAAGGACTTAATTAATCCCGTATGCAATTCCCTTTGTCTAGCGGTACGATACTTGCCCGAGATTCGATCGTCGGTATCCCGATACCTTGTTCAATCTCGTTACCGGCAAGTCTCTTTACTCGTTCCATAACACATCATCCCGTGATCAACTCCTTGATCACATTGTGCACATTATGATGATGTCCTACCGAGTGGGCCCAGAGATACCTCTCCGTTTACACGGAGTGACAAATCCCAGTCTCGATTCGTGCCAACCCAACAGACACTTTCAGAGATACCTGTAGTGTACTTTTATAGCCACCCAGTTATGTTGTGACGTTTGGCACACCCGAAGCACTCCTACGGTATCCGGGAGTTGCACAATCTCATGGTCTAAGGAAATGATACTTGACATTAGAAAAGTTTTAGCAAACGAACTACATGATCTTGTGCTAGGCTTAGGATTGGGTCTTATCCATCACATCATTCTCCTAATGATGTGATCCCGTTATCGTCCATGGTCAGGAAATCGTAACCACATATTGATCAACGAGCTAGTCAACTAGAGGCTCACTAGGGACATGGTGTTGTCTATGTATCCACACATGTATCTGAGTTTCGTATCAATAGAATTCTAGCATGGATAATAAACGATTATCATGAACAAGGAAATATAATAATAACCAATTTATTATTGCCTCTAGGGCATATTTCCAACACCAGCGCCGAACGAGAGGGTCTGGTCGGCTCGTCTCCTAACCCTAGCTTCTCACGGTAGGAAATAGAATGGGGATTGGCATACTGCTACGGAAAAGGTACAGAAGGGCTCAGGGTCTGTACCGAGGTGCAGAATTCTTGCGGGTTTAATTTGCAATTTGTACATCCTTCCATCTCGCAGCACACATTTTCCATCCAACGGCACAAGACAAAGTTTTTAGGTTTTCGCTGAATGTACGGTTTCCACCAGATGTGTACTCGTGCGGTGTGTGCCCGCGCACTTCTGGCAGCACTGCGCACAGCGCACGTAGAGCGTCGTTCATCGGCACATCAACTTTTCATGGCTCTGTATGTCTCCGGAATCTACCATGGCACACTGTCACAGAAGATCAACATCCTCTGATTGCCCGATCCAGCGTGCCAGCAAAAGAGCAAAGCGTCATCCTAGGTACAGGCGTACAGCCATTAGCCAGACACCACTCCTTGCTTCCAGTTCCACCCCGCGCTCGTAGAAGCACCTCCCAACGGAGACCGATGGCCGCTGCTAAGCGAGCCTGCTCCGCTCCCGCCAATTCCGCCGACGCAGCCAAACCGGCGGCGGCGCCAGAACCCGAGCAGCAGCTGCTGGAGGTGGCGGAGGAGGAGGTGGTCGTCGACTTCAAGCCCAACGCCAAGTGCCGCGTCGACCTCCGCCTCCGCTCGCTGCACCCGACGCTCCCCGTCGCCTTCAAGGTGCAGACCTCCTCCCCGCTCAAGTTCCTCGTCAGCCCGCCGCGCGGCGCCCTGCAGCCGCTCTCCACGGCCACCATCCGCGTCGTGCTCCGCCCGCAGCCGCACGCGCCGCCGTCCTTCCCGCGCTCCCGCGCCGACCGCTTCCTCGTCCTCTCCTCCCTCTCCGCCGCGCACCTCGACTCCGCGGCCTCCGTGCCCGGCGGCGCCGGCGTCGGCATCGGCGCCATCCGCCTCCGCGTGTTCTTCGGCGGGCCCTACCTGCTCCGCCTCGCCGCGGACGCCGGGGACTCCGCGGCCGTGCGCCTCATCCTGCGCCGGCAGCCGCACCTCCTGCCGGTTCTCGACCCCGAGGCGGCCGTGCCGGACGCCGAGCCGTGGGCGCCGCTGCACGCGGCTGCCGCGCGGGGCGACTGCGGAGAGGTGAGGAGGCTGGGGCAGGAGGCGCTCGCGGCGCGCGACAAGGACGGCAGGACGGCTCTGCACGTTGCGGCCGCCGCCGGGGAAGCAGAGGCCGTGGCAGAGCTGGTGGACATGGGCGCCGACTCCGCCGCAGCCGACGCGCGCGGGCGGACTCCGCTGGACGTGGCGCGAGAGAAGGGCTACGTAAGTATACCTCTGTCCTTTTTGCACTGCCGTGTAGTAACTTCATGGCTTCAGAGCTTTTAGAATGGACAAAAATTGCACTTTGCGCTAGCGTAGTACTCCACTAGTAAAAAACCAACCACCATGATCGCAGAAAACAACCTTCTGTTGTCTTACTTGGACTCGAAGGTGGCAAGAACAAATTGTCATGTCAGAAAACGTAATTTGAAGATCTTGGCTGGTTTTGTCACGGACAGAACAGTGAGAGAATCAACTGCGGTTCCAGCGGGCTGGGTACTGTACGTAGCTTGGCTTATGTGGCTTGCGTCGTTGCGCTCGTGAACGACACACAGCATCCAATGTTCTTCGGTCTTCTACTCAAAACTTCACTCCAATCTCGTGTAAGAATGTAACGATCGACGACGCTTTTCTTGCCGATTACGCGCAGAAGGAGGTGGTGGACGTGCTGCAGCGGTGGGAGCAGGTGATGACGGCGGCGAGGCGGGGCGACCTCCGGAGCCTGGAGTTCCTCCTCAGCAAGCGCACGGGCCTCCGCGGCCGCGACCAGTACGGGCTGACGGCGCTCCACGTGGCCGCCATCAAGGGCCACTGCGACGCCATCGCCCTGCTGGCGGGGTCGGGGTGCATGGACGTGGAGTGCGAGGACGTGGAAGGGCACCGGCCGCTGCACCTCGCCGTCGAGGGCGGCTGCGCCGACGCCGTCGACCTGCTGCTCGACATGGGCGCCGACGCCCACGCCAGGACCAAGCGGGGCGCCACGCCGCTCCAGATGGCCGACACCATGGGCTATGACGACATCTCGAAGCTGCTGCGCGCCCGGGGCGCCGACGAGGCGGCGGCGGCGGCGGCGGCAGGTGACGCGCAGCTGTGCATCGCGTCGTCGTCTTCCTCGTCGATATCCTGTGCATAAGGCCTGGTTTGCGTCTCCGATTCAGAGTTGATCGCAAAGACAATGTTAATACTGCACTGTATAGGTGACAGAAGTGATTACTGTTTTTTTTCTGTGGCTGTTGATATGGACTTAACAATAAGATGGGACTTTGCGTTCCCCTGAGCAGTTCTAAATGTTTTGCATGTGCACAAAATATATTTTTTCTGAAACATTTTATGTTTTCTGCCCATGAATTAAGCATTTTTTTTACACTCATGCTTGTTTTTTAGCACTGCACTTCCTGATATTCATACTTTGCAAATAACACATTTCTATTCCCTGAAAGAGCCGATTACTCATAAATTTACTAATCTGGAGCGTAATTGTCGTTTTTAATTATTTTTAAAGTAAATATTTATTTACTACTAAGAAATAAGGTCCTGTAGCTCAGTTGGTTAGAGTGTTGGTCTGATATGCCAAAGGTCATGGGTTCAAGCCCCGTCGGGACCAATTGCGATGACTCTTCTCAATGTTTCTTCTAGTTACCTGAAAGAGCCAATTACTCATAAATTTGCTAATCTGAAGACTAGATTGTTCAAACCAAAATGCAGAATAGGCATCAAGCCCTGTCAGGACCAATTGTTTTTTAATTGCAATTACTCTCTATTCATATTCTCTAGACGCTCAATGTTTTTTCTAGTTTCCTGGAAGAGCCAATTACTCATAATTTTGCTAATCTGAAGACTAGATTGCTCAAACCAGAAAGCAGAATAGGCAGACTTTATTCAATGTTCTATTCAAGGAAAGAGCTTGAAGATAAAAACAATTATGCCTTTAAACTTATCATTTTGTTCTTCAAATGGGAAAGGGGCAATTAGTAAATTCTTGTCAACTTTAATAAGTTTCTAACTGAATCTGCAATGGTCGGCTAGGTGATGTATGCAACATACAGTTTCAGCAGTGGAACTGGGAGTCCTGGTGACTTCTTTTAGCCAGGAAAATAATAATCTGTAAATGATCTCGATACTGTATGCATTTAGAAGATGAAGCTGTCACTCAACACTTTCCTATCCAGGGCGAATCTGGTATACAGCTATTTGGTCCCAATGGAATCCATACATCCTTCAGTAATCTAGTCTTTGTCATTGCTCACTAGTGGAAATTGCACCTTAAAACACGTAGCTAACCCCAAATCCTCTGATCTTCTAGCTTCGCCACTGGTCCTATCTAGAACATCACTACTAGAAACTGAGAAATATACTCTTAGATACTAAATTACACTACAAAAGACTGCTGAATATCAAAATACATGTTTGTTGTCACACCTTCCTTGCTTGACACAACCCGTCGAGACGATTTTTCTCAGTTCCCTTTCCACTATAGGCATCCAAAATGTCCCCTTTCGCATCTTATCCAGGTAACATCAAACTTGGAGACTCAGCCTCTTCTCCCAGAACATGAACTTAATAATACTTTCCTGCATCAGGTAATTTCAGAGGATCAAATGTCAGAGAAGAACAACCAGCTCTCCAGTACTCCGGTTTCAACAGGCAAACCGAATAAGAATTTAATAGACAAGTGTTATTAGCAGAAGGTAATATCAGTGCTACAATAGCACAAAAGCTGACAATCTCAGGGCTTGTATACCAGGAACTTAGAATGAAGGAGCAAGGGCTTCGGGATTGACACATGATGGTCTCTTTGCATTGTAGTAGAAATAGGCAATCATTTGAACTAGTTCGTCAGCTGTTCTTATCTCTGTTAATACAATCCATGAGACAATAATCAGATACAGTCAGAGTGAGTATTCCCACCCCTAAGAAAGAACTGGCAAAAGATGTCCAGCCTACAAATTGTCACCTTTAGCATCCCAAACAATAAGCCTCATGTGTGTGCAGATGCAGTTTTTCTTAGACAAATTTGACTAACCTTTTTCTCTGTATAGGATTTTGTTTCCTCTCAAGAACAGCAATTGCGGGCATTCCTTTGCTTGGAGTGCATATGCCAGGTCTCTCTCGATGTTCAGATCAATCTTCACAGTCTGAAATACGTAGTTATATTTAGCATTTGTTAAATTAGCAGAGCAATCATGACAGTTAATCGAACAGTAACCATGATATGATTCACACACCCGTGGAGGTAGCCGATCTTTTGTATCCCAATATACCTTAGTAGCCTTCTCCAATTCTTGAAGGAACCTCCAATTGTCAGCCGCCCTACAAAACACAATAAGCACACTACATCTGTAAACAGTGCTACTGGAGACTTAATTTCTCTGAGGCAACACAAAACATCAGTGAATCTGGATACCAAAGCCAATTTAAAGGCCAGCCAACCCTCTTTTGAGCTCATTGGATTCACCCATGTTCCTAAATATAATCCCCAATGGTTTACAGCTATCCAGTAGACACTAGGAATGGACGAATGGCTTTACCTGTTGTAGCGCTCGAAGACTAGGACGATAAGGGGGCTGGGGTGGAAGGCGAAGCTCTCCCACTCCAAGCAGTTGATCTCCTTGACCCAGCCCCGGTCGACCTCTCCTTCCCAATCGATCTCCACGCCGTCCACCGTCACGTTCTTGATGGAATGCTTGTCGAAGTACTCCGACGCCCGGACCCCCCACCCGACGTCGGCGTCCAGTGGCCAGCTCGGGTCCTCCTCCTCCACCACCGTCTTCTGCTCCCCATCTTCCTCCCCGGGCTCCTCGCCGGAAGCCCGCTCCTCCTCCTCCTTTGGCTTCAAGATGTCGCCTTTGCCTTGGAGGACCTCGGGGTCGCGCTCCTGGATGGAGGCGAAGACCTGCTCGAGGCGGTCGCGGACGAAGTCCTCCACGGCGGCCGCCTCGCTTCGGCGACCGCGGCGTGGTTTGCGGGGCTTGGTTGTGGGGAACTCCGCGGCGGCGCCTTCTGGATTCTGGGGGCCCGCGCGGGGTTCGGGCTTCGGGGGTTTCGGGGCCGTGGCTGGATTGGGAGTCCGTCGCGGCGGCGGCGGCGGTGGCGGCGGCGTGGTGGAGGAAGCGAGGAGGCGTTTGGGGCCGCGGTGGCCATGGCTGCGCCGGGTGGGGTTTAGGCCGGTGGTCGGGGCCGAGGGTTTAAGAGGGAGGAGAGCGGGGAGACGAAGCATTGCGCGCCGGGAAGACGGCAGAAGCCGACGGAGAAGAAAGGGAGCGGCTGGGTTCCAGTGGCTACCGGCTGCGCTGGTGGATGCTATCTGAATTTTGCGGAAAAAAATTATATAAGACCAGGTCTCATGATTAGCAGGTGAGATCCGTCCTGATGGATGACATGTGACATTCACAAATCACAAAGTATTTAATCTCTCTCCCCCCTCTGATTTTAAGTGGGGTGGAGATGCTTTGTGATTTGTGAATGTCACGTGTCAACCATCAGAATGGATCTCACGTGAGACCTGGTCTCATAGAATTTTTTTCCGAATTTTGCCACTGCTGCTGCCCGGTGTGGTGGTGTCCCCTCTCACTGTTGAATTTACTGCTACCTTCTTTGAAAAAAAAGAATACTGCTGCTTTTTTTCAGATTTCAGAAAAACTCTAAGTAATATAAATCAGCGACAGGTAATATAAATCGGAGGAGGGAATACATGATTTTAAACCTTTTTTTTGCAGTGCCTGCCTTTGGATGGTGCACATGAAAGAACCAACTTTTGAAGGATTGAGAAGAGACAAATAGAATGAAGAATACATTAGACATCTCAAAAGAAAAATGAGTAAATGTTTGAGGTCATGTTAGACTTCCTAAGGAATTGGGGCATAAGAATGGGTTAGTAGTTAGGAGAAATTCCTCCAATGAAGCCCTATGTCTTCATGTATTAAACCGCATGAATTTGAATGAAAACGTGTTTGATAGTAGATGATAAAAGAATTTGATAGTGCAGGACAAACAAGAAACTCTACAAGTGGCTTGAATGGATTAATTTTTTTCTCCAAAATATAATACAAATGAATCCTATGAATAATTCTTAAAAATTTCAATCTTGCGAATCAAATAATCACCATAGGAATATTCTTAAGGTCTAAATTCTCTAGAAATCCTATGAAATTTCTTTGAACCAAAGGAGCCTTGAAAGCTCGTACGTTGTCTCACAGGAGATCTCACGATAGCCTTAAGTATATGATCATTAGTGGATTGTGTTTACCGCTACTTATATATTTCTATATCACGTCGCCATGGCTTACTACAGCTTTGTTAGAATGTATTTCTCTCGGCCTAGGAATTATTATATCTTTCTAGTTTCTACAAAATCTTTGTGTTACATGCATGGATTTTTTTTCCTTTCTTG